AAACCAGCCGCTGCGTACTCCTCCGCCGTCGACAGGACACGGCCACCAGCGTCGTTGCACGCCACCCTCAAATGCGCCCCAGCCGCAAGCGACAGGCCCGCCGACAGCATCCGTGGCAGCAGCGCTCGGTTGTGCACAAAGCTCAGCGTGCTCCCAGCAGCGGTCACTGCACCGGCGGCGTGGAGCATCTCCCTCGAGGCGCCGTCGTGCACGTTGCCCTTCGCCAGCAGCATCGACCCGCCATCCAGACTCACCGTCGAATAGAACGCCACCGCGTAGTCCTCCGTCGACGAAAATTCGTTCCGCACAAGCGCCGCAGCAGAGCCCGACACGCTCACAGCCCCACGCACAGACACCGCGTGCTTGCACAGCAGGAAGTCGCTGTCAGCAAACGCCACAACGGAGCCGCCGCTGGCAGCAACACCGCCCTCCACCGACACGCACAGCCCCAGCGCCGTCTGCACCAACAGCCCGTCCACGTACAGCGCACCGCGCGACGACAGCGCCACGCCGCCAACCACCAGCACGCCAACAGCGTCGCCGAACACCGCCGCCACATGTGTGCGCGCAATGGTCAGCACGCTCCCCGTCAGATTCACGTTGTGCAACACGAGGCACGCGGAGGCATCGCCAAGGCCGTAGGCGCCACGGTACGCAACACGCCTCTCTGCGATCAGCAGCGAGTCCACCACGGTGACGCGCGAGCCCGGCGGAAATAGGTTCGCCACCACCACGCCGCCGCCGGAGCGCGACTCAAGACCGCTGACCAACACATCAACGCGCTCGCCAGCAGGCGGGTCGGACCTCCACCCAAAAACGTACAGGCTCGCTCCGTCCAAAAACGTGCAGTTCGCCAGCGTCACGTTGCGCACGCTCCCTGACATCGACGCCACGTCCACCACGACGTCCGCCGCAAAGGTCAAGCCAACGTAGCATGCCACCGACGTCCCGAAACTGACGTTCACCTCCACATCCACACGCACGTCACGCACGCACAAGTCGGCGCCGTCGGTGCTCGGTGGCTCGGGGACAGCGACAGGCAGGCACGCTTCGCCGTAGCCGCCCTCCGCGCACGTGCAGGCGCAGACATCACTCGAGGCCGTCGTCGTGTACGCGGGGAAGCACAATGCCGCGAGAGTGCATGGGTCGCTGCATGTCAAAATGGTGACACTGTACACGGACGGGATGACGTATTGCACCCTCTCACCGCCGTTCACAGTGTTGCACGCAGCCACAATCTCTCCGTTTGTGAGTTCCCTGGGAATTGTAGGTATCCACAGAACTGTCGGCGTGCGAGCGCTGGACATAAATCGGTTGCCGGACACAGACACCGTGGAGTCGCGGAGATTCACCGTGTAGTGTATGTATACAAAGGCTTTCGATGGGGATTCACGGCAGAGGTTGCCGCTCAACTGCAGCCAAGAGTTGTAGTAGATGTAGGAAAGAAATTTTGAATAAAAAACAGCCAAACTTCTCTGCATGTCGTTGCCCTGAAACACAACCGCCGAAAAAGACTCCACAATTAAGGCCGAACGCAAAAAAATGACGTGCTGCACCTGACTCGACACAACGTTGTCTCGGACCACCACGGCAGAGTTGTTCAGTACATCCAGCGACGAGGACTCGCTAGACCCTTCAAGATATATCAGCGTAGCGCCACCGCCGTCCATATGAAACGTGTTGCCCAGCACCGCAAACAGGGAGCGCCACAACACCCTCAGCGCAGACTCAACGACGTGAATGGCGCTCGACGATGCCGTCATGGCCTGAAACACGTTGCCACTAAGCACCACCGCGGAGTCGTTGCTGATCGCCAGTCCATTCATCGCAACACACGACGGCTTCCTAAGGACCAAACCCGACCGAGGGATCAGCCTCGTGACAATGAAGCGGTTCCCGCTGATCGTGATGTTCGTTTGCGGTGGGAACACACCCTCCGGGCTGAGCAGCGCGTCAATAAATCTGTTGCCGGTGACGACGATGTTCAGCGACCCCAAAGCGGCGTACGCGTTGCCCAACAGCAACAGCACGGCGCCGTCCCTCCACGTGCATCCATCGAACGTGACGTTCGCCACGTCGCCCGTCATCGCTCCGACCAGCACCGTCAGGCTCATGCCGCCCCCGCTGAACGTCACGTTGCGGTAGCACAGCCACGACAGCCCGCCGCCCACTGCCTGCGCAACCTCGGGGTACACCATGTCGCTGATGCACTCACCAACTGGCGGCAGCGGCGGTGTGCGTGGGGGCGATGGCGGCGACGGCAGTGGTGGCGGCGGGCCCGCAGGCACAGGCGCCGGGACACACACATCGCCGTGCCCTCCAGCAGCGCACCGGCACTTGCAGTCAATGACCGCCGTCGTCAGCGGAGCAAAGCAGTCGCCGTCCTTCGTGCACTCCCCGCACGCGGTAACCGTCGTCACGTTGGTGATGCCGTGGAGCTCCAGTTCAGCTGCCGTCGTCACCTCCCGTCCCGCGACCGTCAGGCACCCAGCAACGAACCGGTAGCCGGCGTCAGCCCGAGATAGCAAGGAAACCGACAACCCCGTCGAGCCCATCGTGCAGTCCGTCAGCGTCACCACACTGCTGCCGTCAATGCTCACAAAAGCAGAATCCCATACTTTGAAAATCGCACCCACTCCCACGTCGTTGTCACGCCAATCCAGCCAGCTTGACTGCTGAACGGTCCAAGAATTATATGCGTAGATGGCGTATGATACGGAACCGCTGTTCCCCACCACGCGCAACACGCTGTGTTCCGACACGCTAAAGTCCTGCTGCTGAGAGAGGAGGCTTATCCCGGAGTCCATTCTATTGTTTAGCAGCGCAAAAACAGAGTGATTGCGGACAATGAGGATATTCATGTGCAGCAGGTGTGTGTATCCATCGAAGCTGCAGTACCGTGCGTACAGCGAGCTGCCACCCACCAGCTTCAGCGTCCCAGTCGAGTACAAACCAAAACTACCGTAACCGAATGCACACGCTTTGACGTTGCTAACCAACAGCGAGGACGCACTCAACACGACGTCCCTCAGCATCATAACGCTCAACATGTTGTTCACAGATTCCGGCAACTGTACCGCGGAGGACTGCATCGCGTCAACCTCCGTGACGGCGATGTCGCAGTGCAGCGGGAGGGCGAGTGCAAACACAACAACGGAGGAACGCATCACCGCCCGGCTCACGCGGATCAGGATACCAGATGACTCGGCCGCCTCAGCACCCCCAAAAAACTGCAGCGCGGCACCCTCACGGAATGTGCACCCGGTGAGCGTGATGTTGATGGGGAGATGCAGCGGCATACTGTTGAGGAAAAACGTCAGCGCAGCACCCATGCCGCTGAATGTCACACCTGCGTAGCAGTGGTGCGTCTTCCACATGTTCAGCGCGAGGTCCGTCAGCGTCTGGTCCACCACGCAGCTCGTGTCGCCGTCAACGGCTCTCCCCGCCACGGGCGGCACAACCGTGTCGGGCACCTCGAAGGGAAGACACGACGCGCCATGCCATCCGTCCTTGCAGCTGCACGAGCACGAGCCGCGGTCCACCGACTCCGTCCCGGGCATGTAGCACGCCGCGTCGTCGTTGCATGTGCCGCACCTGAACACCACCACGCCCTCCGGAAGCACAACGTCGTACGACACCTCCCTACCGTCCTGCAGGTTGCACCCAACCACAAACCGCGCGGGTGAAACCACAATCGTGTTTGACAGAGCCATTTTAACAAAAGGACAGCTATCGTCCACCAGACGGTTGTGTGCAAGCACCACGGTGGTGCCGCTGCCCAACAGCCTCATTTTGTACAAGGATTTTGGCATACCCATTACTGAGGCTGCACCCACGTTGTTGCCCTCCACACGCCACTGCGCACCATCCTCGAGTGTCACCAAGCCGTCCAAATGCACCAGCGCAGGTTCAAAAAACAGTGTGATGCCAGCAAAGGTGCAGTCCGCCACTCGCAACAGTCCAGCGGAGCTCACGATGATGTCCCCATAAAAATAAATGCCACTAACTGCACACATCGTGTTATCCTCCACGTCAAAGTAGCCGCCGTTCTTTAAAATAGCAGATTCAAAAAAAACAGCGGATTCCAACGGAAATTCCTCCTCCGCTCCCCTCAGCGTATTTCCCTTCATAACGATCCCACCACCATCAACAACAACAAAGGATAAACGGACTGCGTAACTTTCCCCTTCGATGCAATTGTCGAGCAACAGCAGCGTCGAGTTCGCACCAAGAGAAAACCTCTGGAATTGAACTGCGTGGCGAAACCTCATCAAAAGCGTACTGCCCACCACCAGTATCAGGGAGCTCGCGCCAAAATCACCTTCAAACTCCAATGCACCAGAATCCATCATCAAAGAGACCACGCTCACGTGCACTCTCGCACCACTCCCCCTGATCGACAGGCCTATGAGGATGCACTGCAGCAGCGTGATGTTGAGTGCCTGCTGTGGTGCGTCAAAATACAACAGGTCCAGCGCAATCGCGGCGGTGAAGGTCACGTTGACAAAGCACAGACCACGCACACCGGGATCAGGATAGTCCACGGAGCTGATCCTGCCACCATGCACGCAGCGGACCTCCGAGTCCTTCGCATCGGGGAGCGGGAGCGGCCCAAGGCCGTCCGGAACCGCAGCCGGCAGACACGTGTCACCGTAGCCGCCAGCAGCGCACACACACTCACAGCCGCTGATGCTGCTCGTCCTCGCTGCAAAGCACACAGCGTCCATGGTGCACGCACCACAGTCCAGTGCCGTCACGGGTGCTCCAATGTTGAGATCGTCTTGGTAACCCGTCACAGGAGAGCCCCTTGCCTCGTTGCACATGCCGTAGATGGTCGGGTGCGTGTCGGATGGTGGTGACCAGTTGCTGGTCATGTATGTTAAGGCCGAGTAAAAGCCGT